CAACAATGCGGACGCTGCCTCAACTCAACCAAGGCCGCATCAAACATGTCACGTATCGCCCAATTATCAAAAGATACTTGGGATTACAAGGTGCTCGCTGAAATAGCTATTACATTTGTCAGAGTACGTAAGTGTATAGCCCAACACTTCCTTCCTCAAGTAAACCGCACATATGTTTATAGTCAGCACCTCACACTTAAGCCACAGTCTTAAGACATCTTTAACGATAGTCAAGATGTCAAGCAATCAACGATATAAATCTAAATAAAACTTCTCATTTTGCCTAGTTCTCACTTTCTCATACACGGATATCGTTCCGCCAGGGACAACGGCAGGCAACCGTTATCCCTGGCAACAGCGCCACCTGTCGAGCGCATCAGTCCGGCACCGCACAAGGCAAGGCGGGACCCTCCTGGTTGCGTCACGCAGGAGTTGGATTTTAATCCTCGTTGTGAATACATATGGAGCTTCCACAAGCCGTTCTGACCGAGTGCGCCAACCATACCTCTCGCGAGCCCCTACGACAGGATAGGGCCTACCCGAGGCACGACTTACCTCCACCTTACGGGAGCCATCACCTCCCTTCGGTGGGCATATCCTCGTCGAGCTACAAGTCCACAGTACGAAAGCTAATCAGCTGCAATCGCAGAGGTGGACCAGCCGAGGGCGTTTCTCGTTCGTTGTAGTATAAGGGGTATGCAAGGTTTTACGCCTGTATCGTACCCTCACGCGAACCGATGTCTTGGGGGGCTGAAGTCCCAAGCGTGACTCGTCGTCGGTCGACTAGGACGCACCCTACACACCACGCGCACACCACCCTAAAGAACATAAAAATAAAACACACACACATACATACATACATATACAGAACGACATAGAACAAACAATGCGACAACACTCCTAGTCCCTTAGTAACCATCCCATAATTCTCCGATGCGGAAATCGGATAGGCGTCGCGCGCGAGACTTAGTATAAAATCGTGCGGACGCAGGGCTAACTCATATCGACTCGCAATGCAAGCATACGCAAGCAGTCGCAATGATGGCGTACTATGTAGTACCCATACTCATGCGGTCCTCGTTAATCTTGAGGGTCGCATTTCGACACTCAAGTGTCGGCTGACACCCGCCTTGAGGGATTGATTTCTCGACGATGGACAACTGCAAAGTGCGGTTGAAAACCACACCCTCTTCTGCACTCTGCGGAGAGTGGGTGGTACACAGGTTCATACGTGTGATGGCAATCGTCTCTTGTCGCCTTGGAGACCAGCTTTATCATCCAGGATCTGGAAAGAAGTCAAGGGGTTTGACTTTGACGGCTGCCACGGACTACAACGTCCAACTATAAAAATTAACAAGCGACATCAAAATAATTAATCATCCCAACACTCATATATCAAATCAAATTTTGAGATAAAATACAGAGAAAACTACGGCGCAGTCAGGGTTACAGTTTGTAATTGCATTTGAAACTGCGTTTTAGCAGTTTAGTCAGGGTCTGAGTTTCAATTGAATTTGAAATTGCGTTTTAGCAGCTTAAAACTCGGGCTGGCTTTTTCTAGTAGTTCAATCAGGCACATGGCCGTTTTTTTTTTTTTTTTTT